CATGATGCATCAGCCCTCCTCCATCCCATGATCTGAGGAGTTTAGAAGAAGCTGGAGTGGAGGTAAGATTTCTCTAGTGTGAGTCTTGATGTGCCACAGGAATGAGGGACATTCCTTCGTATCTCAAGTCAAAGACAAGGTATTTACTTAAGGGAAATCGCTCAGAAGCTTGGATATCTGTGGCTTGTATTTTGGCTGACACATGACCCTAGCACCTGACTCCCTCCTGAGAGACTGTGGGGCGGGCGTGCCACTGTGAAAGCTGGGTGAAGGGGAGGTTGGCCCTTTGGGCAAAGGATGTGCGATTATTCCTCACAAGCCAGGCATGGGCTGTGAGCAGGACAGCAGATGGGTTAGACTCAGCGCTGTCCTAGACCGTCCCTTCGAGGTTCCGGAAAGAAGACTTGACCCAAGAGTACCCTGATGCCTAGGTGCTGAGGACCAAAATAAAGTGGCCACCAGGGATGGCGCACGGATTGTTAAGCAGCCCTCTGCTTCGTGTCCACCTCGCTATGCTCTGTGATGCCAGGGCTGGGCTGAAAACCACCTTTCTCCGTTGCCAGGCAGGGCTCCCGAACCGTCCCGCACAGGTGCTGGGGTGGGATGACAGGCTGGAGGAAGGAAGGGCCCCATCGTCTCTCTTGCACAACTGCTCCTGGCAGCAGCCTGCATGGCAGCCCTGCTCCTCTCTGCAGTGTCAGTTGGGCAGGGCCGGATTTCGGTTTCCGGGGCCAGCTCCCGGCAGGGTCCTCCTCCAAACCTCCACGTTCTCATGACCTGACCTCTTCCCTCCGTTGCCCCGGACCCAGGGCAGGTAACCCTTACACCAACTGTAGATCGGGGATTCCAAGGGCCTTATCTGTCTTTAAGTTGATGCTTGTCTCGCCCTTTCCCTAGATAGTACTCTGCTAAGATAACCAGGGAGCTTCTGCTTTCCTGCCTGGTGCCTGATTTATTAAAAAAGAAAAAAGGGGGGGGGACTACATTTTCCACATCCAGAGCACTGCAGGTAAGGAGCCCCCAAGGTAAGGGGACATTGTGAGGACCCCACAAAAGCACCTCCGGGGAGAGAGGGTCAGCTTTATACACGTGCTGTGCCAGCGTGGATTTGAGGAGTAGGAACTTTCATCGCCTCCCTCTCCCTCCCGAACTCCCTAACCCGGAAGGGCCAGGTGTAGCGTCCTGGCCTCGGAGCCTGCAAGGAGGGGCCCGGTGAAGAAGGGCTAAGAAGCCCACCAGGGCTGCAGGTCTAGCTGGGGATGATGCCCTACGTTTGCTCACTCTCAGGGCCGGCAACCACGCGGGGCGGGACCCAGCCATGATTTAACCACTATGTATTTTGTGATATCAAGTAAAGTGATTTGCTGTTGTTGTTCTTACTTAAGAGTGACCCGAAAGGGTAATGAAGATGGTCTTCAATTTCATGTAGGAACAAGCGGAAGAACCAGCGCACTGGGCGGTTTAGGGGGATCCTGGGACGAGAACCTGGCAGGCCCGAGGCTGCAGCAGGAATCCGGACAGGTGGATGGAGGAGGGGCCGCGACAGGGTGGGTGGCCCAGTCCCCGCAAGCCCGTGGTGTCCCAAGGCCCTGTAGGGGCACCGACCCAGGGCCCGGGAAGGGGGGTGCAGATGGGTCCTCTCTTCCCCCTTAGCCCAATCACATTCTCTCTTGGAGGATCCACACAACACTGCCTTCGTCCCTCACCTGCCTGTCTACACTCAGGGACTGGAACCCCCCAGGCCAGGGCCGCATGTGCTCACCCTTTATTCCTAGCAGGTGGCACAAGGCCTGACAAACGCCAGGTCATAGCTGCTCAGCGGGAAGAACCGGAGCAGAGGTTTCTGGGGCGCAAGACGGAAGAGGACTCCCCTCCTTCCACATGGGAGGGAGACAGGGAGCTGACCTTGGGGGCCTGCCAGGGGGGCGAAGGAGATGCCCCCCCCAGGCCTGGGGAGGGCGGTGGGGTTGAGGGGGGCGAGGGGACCCCGGGCTGGGGGCTGGGCCTGGGGCGGGCTCCCAGGGCTGCGGGGGGTCCTGGGGGGATGCTGGGAGGGGGTGATCCCGGAGGTGGGGGTACTGGGCCTGGGGCGCGCTCCGGGGGCTGCGGGAGGCAGGGGGTCCCGGGGGGTGATGCCGGGCCTGGGACAGGCTCCCGGGGCTGTGGGGAGAGGTCCCGGGGCGGGGGGTGCTGGGCCTGAGGCGGGCTCCCAGGGCTGAGGGGGGTGGTCCCGGTGAGGGGGGATGCTGGGTCCGGGGTGGGCTCCGGGGGCTGGGAGGGGGTGCTGGGCCTGAGGCGGGCTCCTAGGGCTTCGGGGGGTGGTCCGGGGGGGGGGGTGGACCTTGGGCGGGCTCCCAGGGCCGCGGAGGTGGTCCCGGGGTGGGGGGATTCTGGACCGGGGCGGGGTCCCGGGTATGGGGGGGTGATCCCGGGGGGTGGTGGTGCTGGGCCTGGGGCAGGCTCCAGGGGCTGTCAGGGCGGTGTGTGGGTGGTGCCCCGGGGGGTGCTGGGCCTGGGGCAGGCTCCCGGGGCTGCGGGCGGGGGGGGGGGGATGCTGAGCCGGGGCGGGGTCCCGGGGCCGCGGGGAGCCCGGGGGGGGGGGGTCGGGGGTCTGCGCGGGTGCAGGGCGGCGGCGGGTGCAGCGGGGGGCGCCGCCCTCCCCGGGGCCGCTTTCCGGCGCCCTCTGAAAGCCTTATTGATGCTCGGGGAGCGGCGGCCCACGGTTTCCTCTGACGCGGCTGTGCTCGGCCCCCCCAGGGCCCCGGGGCTCTCGCGTCTCCGTGCCCGACAGCTGGCGGCCCGCGCTTCCGCCCGGGGACGGGGACGGGCGCTCCGCGGGCACAAAGGCCGGCGGCGGCGGCTCCCCTCCAGCTGCGAGCCGGGCTTTTCCGCGGCCGGAGACGCTGCGGTCCAGCTGCGGCCTCGCCCTCCCGCGGGCTCCGCATTTTAATCAGCGGCCGTCACTGCCTCGTTTGTGGGGCTCCGCAGGTGCGCCCCCGCCCCCCCCCCCCCCCCCCCCCGGCCCCCGCGCCGCCCGCAGCGCCCTTCCGCCCGCGCGGGCAGGTGAGCCGGCCTGACGTCAGCGCAGGTGCGCGCCCCCCCGCCCCGGGCGCCCCGCGGTCACCCCCAGCTGGAGGGCTGCGGGGGGGGGGTTCCGCCGGGTCTGGGCCCCTCTCGGGTTCCTGGGGCGCCCGCGGCCCTGCCCTCCGGAGGCTTCTGCGTCTGCAAAGGTCTCTGCTTCTCTGGGGCCAGGACACCGAGGATGCCCGCCGCTGGGTTCTCAGGGCACCTGCCCGGCCTCGCCGCGCCCGCATCGCACCTGGCCCCCAGCATCAGGACTGGCACAAAGTCGCAGAACGAGGGCAGGGCACTGGCAGGACCCCGACGGGTGCCTGGGGTCCCCCCGCCCCCCACCATCAAGTGCCCTTGTCCGTCCGTCGTTTGGCCGATCGCCCTCTCCAGTCCCCCATCTCCCTGAGGACTGGACCCTGGGGTCACACCTGCCCGTGGGTCCTGCAGTGCCTGGCCTTGCAGACACGAAGGGATAAAAGGGACAGAAAGGGAACGACTGGAAATGGGCTGAGCACCCCCACCTTATTGGGCGGGGACTATACTCCAAGCTTCCTGGGAGGATATTTGATGTGACCCGCCCAGACATCTAGCAAGGAGAGTTTTAATACCTCCATTTTTTTTTTTTTTTTGTAAATGGTCATATTTGGGGTGTGTTGGCAGCAGGAAGGAAAATTATTAGAGCTTCTATTCTGGGGCACCTGGGTGGCTCCTACCTTAAGTGCCTGCCTGCAGAGCAGGTCCTGACCTCAGGGTCCTGGGATTGAGCCGGGTGTGGGGCTCTGCTCAGCGCAAAGCCTGCATCTCCCTCGCCCTCCGCCAACTACTCTGCCTGCTTGTGCCCTCTCTCTTTCTCTCTGTTAAATTATTTTTTAAAAATAAAGCTTCTATCCCTCACTTCTTGCTCCTTACATTGATCTATTTTGTGGGCTGCCCTCAAAGTTGGTTTCTTCAAGGGACAATGGACAGCAACTAAGTTGGCTCCTTCCCCTTTTCACCTAGAATGATGCACCCCCAGGCTGGAAGCCATACTGGACTTTCTTTTATTTCAACATCACTTTTAGGTTTCTGAAAGGTATCTACTTATCACAGCGCCGCGAGACGATTATTGTCACCCACGATTTACAAATGAGGAATCAAGATAAAAGAATTAAAATGTCTGTTAAAACCGAAGAAGGACACAAATGGATTCTGGTACACTGGAGGTCTCAAACAGCAAAGGCCCAACTTGGCCTAGTGACGTGTTATGGTTGGACCATGTGATATCTTCTTTCACACATTTAAATTAATTAAAAGCATTTAAAAATTAGTTTATACTTTAAGAATCCAGATGCCTGTCTCCCTGACCCAGTTTCAGGTGATCTAGCAACACTGGGGCTCCATTTATACACAGCAACAGTCTCTTGATACTAGTTAATTCCTGACCACTATATTTTAAGGTGAGCTCTCCTGTTTATCAAACTTCATCTCCAGCCTGGTTTATTGATTCATAATATCTGGGAGGCTCATGAAAATACTGACTTTGCCTCAAAAAGCTTCAAGAAACACCATTCCTTCTGGTCAGTGAACAGTCTGTGATATGGAAACAGTTGTCTTTAAGGGATGGTAACAAGGCCTCATTCAGTCAGAATCTGTGGCCCGTGTCTCTCAAGGTCTGCATTCTGACCTAGATTTCCAAGATCAAGCAGGTTATTGCAGGGACCTAAGAGTGGTTAAACATCAAAAATCAATTACTTATTAGAAAAACCACATAATACTTTCCTTAGATACAGAAAAATAACGAGATAAAATTCAGCTCTTTCATGCAAAAAGATCACCAGGAGTTGAACTGAAGGTCTTAGACATTGCAATATGAAAAGAAAAAGAAAAAGAAAAAGAAAAAGAAAAAGAAAAAGAAAAGAAAGAAAAGAAAGTTACTAAGACTTAACTGCCTACTTTGACAGCACATAGACTAGAATCAGAACAATACAGAGAAGATTAACATAGCCCCTGAGCAAGGATGACATGCAAATTCACAAAGTGTTGCATATTTTTTTAAAAAAAGATTTAAGAGATAAAATTGCTCTTAAATGCAAGTAGAGTGTTTTTCATAGAAAATTCAATATTCTCTATAAAGCATTAGTAGTAATGGGCAGCTTTGTATACTCAAATCACTTATTCGATAAATATATATTCAGTGTGAGAGTGGCTATTCTAGGTATAGCAGATACAGCAGTGAGTAATACAGAAAGTCCTGCTCTTGTGGAGCTAATCTTATGAATTAAAAATATTTACTATATGTCTCACGACGACACATGGTCTAGAGAACAATAAAGCATCATAAATTGATTTATGTGTTCTTTTAAAAGTATGTGGTGGTTAGGGAAGGCCTCAGTATTCAGAGGACATCTGAGTAGAGCCCTGAAGGAAGTAAGAGATCTAGTGGATAGCTGTGGGAGATCATTCCAGGCTAGGGGGACAGAGAGCACAAATGTTCTAAGTGAGAAGCATGCTGGGTGTGCTGAAAGTGCAAGGAAGTCAATGAAGCTACAAGAACCACTGGAAGTACAATGCCAGATGAGGGCCAGATGACATAATGCCTGTAGCCCTTTGGAAGATTTGGCTTTTACCCTGAGTAAGATGGGGCTCCTGGAGGGTTTGAGGCAGAGTATGTCTTACAGAATCAACCTGTTTTCTTTGCTAAATTAGAGGGCAGTGAGTGCAGAAAGAGGACATCAGTTAGGGGGTTACTGCATTAATCAAGGAGAAAAATGCCTGTGGCTTGGACCAGATGTAATGCTGGAGATGTGAGATGTGAATAACTCCTGACCATTCTAAAGGAAGAGCTAACTGGCTTTGTAATAGACTCAGCGTGGTACCCGCGTTTTTAATTTATAACCTGGAAGAATGGAATTTCCATTAACTAAGACCCTGAAGACTGTAGGAGGTGGCAAATCAGGAACTTGGTTTTGCACATATTCATTCGGAGGTACTGAAGTGGTCAGTTTGGGCCAGGCTTATGCTGTGGTGACAAAGAAAAATCTCAGTGTTAGAAATCACGTTTGTTTCTCACCGAGGCCATGCCCATCGTAGATTGGACAATCCTCCTGGCCAATTGCTTTTTATGCAATGACTTACTGATGTGGCTCTGCCTTTGCTACTCACAGTCTTCACACTCATTGCTAAAGAGAACGGTGAGATTGGAAACGTGGACAAGGTCCCTGTACTGTCTCTGCTAGGGAATGTGCAGTGGGTACAGTGGTGTAGTGCCCAGAATTCCCCCATGGGGTCTGAAGCATTCATTATTTCTGTTGTTGGAGAGCCAGGTATTCATGGATCACCCTCTGTGCCTCCTCTAAGATTGTCTCCTATACAGAGAACCATCCAGCCCAGTGTAATGTCCTCTCCCTAAAGGGGCCATTTCCAGCGACAGTCGACCGCTGGGAACACAGGCAGCTCTCGACTCAATCTGGAACAACTCTATGGTCCATCCCAGCTCCACAGCCCTCACAGGATCAGCTCAGGCTCTGTTGTAATTGCATTGCAGTGAACTTCTCTCAATGCTCTTCCTCTCACTCTCTTACAGACCTCCCTAAAGGTCTGGCTCCAATAATCTCCTGCATGAGATCTCTGCAACTCAACTTCCCAGGAAAACCTAGTACATGCAACATACTCCTTATTTTCTGGATGAGTAGTCACATTCACCCACCTCAATGGAAGGGTTACGTGGTGTGCATAGCAGAACGTACAAACTTGTCAAAATACAATGGTGTATACCTGAAACTCGTGTAACATGGTGTGTCAACTATTCTCAAAGATTGTTTAAAAAATGCATTATGAGGGATCCCTGGGTGGTGCAGCAGTTTAGCGCCTGCCTTTGGCCCAGGGCGCGATCCTGGAGACCAGGGATCGAATCCCATGTCGGGCTCCCGGTGCATGGAGCCCGCTTCTCCCTCTGCCTGTGTCTCTGTCTCTCTCTCTCTCTCTCTGTGTGTGACTATCATAAATAAATAAAAATTAAAAAATTTAAAAAAATGCATTATGAGACATACAGTGTGTGTGCCTGGAAGAGAGACACCATTGGTGAATAATCACAGTGTCCATCATACATTCCTTTTAGACATCTAAGAAGAGGGAGTAAGTGAACAAGTGGGTATATAGAAGGTAGACTTTCAAGGCTTACGTCCAGACTGGAGAGAGTAATCTTGGGTGATGTTTAAAGACTAATACCAGATAACAGCCCTAATAATTAGGGCAGACAGAAAAGAGCAGAGGTGTGATGACTAAGCGCTGGGCACATGAACATTTAGAAATCTAGTTGATGAGGAAGAACCAGGAAAGGAGACAGAGAAGTTAAAGATATGCCTATGCTATGCCTTAATTTCTCCTCAAAAATTCTCATGCTGTACACAAGGAAATATGTTTCCAAATGGACATTGAACCATTTCCTTTTTACTATGGAATAATGGAAACAACCCAAATATCCATTGACACTGGAAAGGACAAAAAAAATTGTGGCAAAATCATAAAATAGTATAGAATATAGCAATTAGAATGGATGGCAATCGAGTTGCATGCATTAATATAAATAAATCTCAAAAACATAATGTCAAGCAAAAACAGATTTCATTATCATACATATAATATGAAATGATTTGTACAATCTTTGAAAACATTTCCAGATAAGGCCATATATTGCTAATGGACACACACCTGTACAGTCACAGTGTGCCGTGTACGTGGGCACCTGTGCCTTCTTCAGTGGGGGACAGAACGGGTTTGCACACTGATACGTATGCCATCCTCTGCTATTACTGTGACTGCCTGAAACGTTTTATATGAAAGGATACCTTCCCATCTTGCTGTTATAAATCACATAAAATATTAATAAAATCAAGTTTTTAAAGTGTCTTTTGTAACAATGGATGTAAAGCCATCGATAGTTGGGAACTTCGATGTATTTGGCTATTGCGCGGGTATCACCACAATACTAGCAATGATGAAAATGACAAGAATTATGTTTTGGCTTCCACTGTGACTAGAACTTTCCGAGGCTTTTCTAATGCATTATTCTATTCCATCCTCACCATGAATCTAGAACAGAGACCATTATTACCGCTCTCTTTCAGATGAGGAAACTGATGCCCGGAGAGAATGAAGAAATCCTGTCTCACAGCTAAGAAGTCACAGACCAGAATCCGACCCATCTTAATTTGACTCCAGATTAAATATCCTCACATGCAATGCTCCACCATTTTCCCTGCCCAGTGTGAGGCTCAGCGCACACGTTCAGTTACTGCCTATAGATAGAAGTGAGCCAGACCCGGCAGGAGTGGAGAAGCCAGTAAGAACAGCGCTTATCTGGTACTCGTCTTGCTTCTCTCCCGTCCGGGGCGTTGAGCCCACAGTGGTAATACGAACATCATCAGATCTTCTGTCCCAAGTCCCCAGGGTGATGAATCCATTCCTGTCTGCTCTTCCCGTGATGCATATATCTTGGTAACAGAGGGTGTCACAATTCTCATGCTTCCTCTTCTGGGGAAACTAATTTAATTCCATTGAACTGAATTTAAAGCCACAGATGGGAAGGACTTCTGAGAAATTCATTTCAATCCCCTCAATTTATAAACTGAAAAGAAGAGGCCAAAGAAGTTAAGAGGCTTCCTCATAAGGAGTAGCTTCCTCCATTACAGGAGCCCAGGCCTTCTTGACTCCTTTGGCTCAGTGGAATCAGCTGGTCAACTTTAAACACTTCTGCCGTCCTGGCCACAGAACCAACCTTCTGATTCAATTGGTCTGTGGTGGGACTTGGCATTGGCTGGTGCTTAATCTCCCCAGGTATTTCTGATGTGAAGCCGAGGTTGAGAACCCCTGCGTTTACGCTTCCTTCCCCTGGCATGCTCTCATGTACACACATCTTTGATCTTGCTGCCCAGGAAGCTGTGACTGAGGCCATGCTTCTCATTTTGTCAAGAGGAAAGGGATGGGTCGGGAACCCATTGAGTAGAGTTTGCTTTTCAAACCTTTCTGGGGTCCATGGGAGATTCAGTCATAAGCTTTTTGTCCACATCGTTAGGTTAGTTTCTTCTTTAGTGCATTTTGTTAAGAAGTAAAGAAAGTGATAAGGCACTATTTTTAGCAGCTACAAATGGGATGTATTTGAAAATGATGGCGGTTCAGAATTTTAAGGTTTGTATTTAGCTCTATTTCAGAAATACACTATCCATATAAGCCTAATTCCAGTTACTATAACCTCTGCTTTATTTAAAGCAGGGTCATCAAACTTTTTCTGTGAAGGGCAGATAATACATATTTTATTGATGTCTGTGTTGTATCTACTCAACTTTCCCTTTGTAGCATAAAGAACTTCCATAGACGAGACATAAAGAGGAGGGCGTGGTTGTGTTCCAATAAAAGTTTATTTAGAAAAACAAGGGTGGGCTGAGTTGGCTCACCACCAACCTCTAAAGTATCAGATTGAAAGAGATAATGTCTGGTGATGGTCCAACTCTTACGAAAGCCAAAATATAATTAAAAAACATTTCTTAGATCATGGAGGGTTTCTGAAATTAGGAAAAAATTCTCCAATGTTACTTTAATATTGTACTCACATATTCAAAATTTTGTAAGACCCCAGGAACAAGAAACACGGTGTTTGTTCCAGTACCTTTTAGGTACCTTTGCATCTTTTGAGCACATCCTACCTTTAGTGCAATTTATAAATGTTTCTCTTTTTCATCTTCATGAAAGTTTTTTTAAAAAATAGCAGAAGTAGGCTGCTAAATTCCAGAACAGTCAAATAATTACTTGGAAAATGGAAAGGCAGGTGAACACCAGTCATTTCACGATTTCAATTTTATGATTGCTTCATTACAGAACATACATGCATAAAACTTTCAATAGACCTGCATCATCTGAACCATAGCTTTCGGTTTCAGCCCCAACCACTGCCACTTACGAAAGCCTGGCCTTGCTTGAATTAGGTCTTCGAACAAACCTAGGGAAGTAGTTGTTAGAATAAAGAGAATTCTTGGTGTGTTCTGAGGGTTACTCTA